TGAGTCAGGAATCTCTTGCTTTACTGGTGCTTGCATCTGGGTCACAGTTCTGAGGGGCGGTCCTGGGGCGAGGAGGAGTGCTGGCGTGGTGGAGCTTGTTGTGGCGGTGGAGAGGAAACACCTCACCCCTTATCATACCACCTTGGAAGAACTGACGCTTTTCAGGTCCCTAGAAGTATCTCTGAAAACAGCTGTACAAACCCCCAAAGCTTGGGACAGTACATTCTCCATATTCGAAACAGATTGTTACCTTAACAAAGAGTTTAAAACTCAAGTAACTGGTTGGGATCATGAGCAAGCAGCGCAAAAAGAGTCAGACTATATTATCTTACTTTGGGACAAAGAAGATCAAAACATACAACCAGAAGAAGAAAACAAAGTCAAAGTTCCTACATCCAAAACTTCCAAGAAAAATATGAATCAGTCCCAGGCCTTGGAAGGGCTCTTAAGGGATTTTGAGAAGCAAGTAAGAGAAGTAGAGGAAAAACTGGGAAGAGAAATGAGAGCGATGCAAGAAAATCATGAAAAGCAAGTTAACAGCTTGCTAAAGGAGACCCAAAAAAATATTGAAGAAAATTGCACCTTAAAAAAATAGCCTAACCCAAATGGAAAAAGAGGTCCAAAAAGCCAATGAGGAAAAGAATGCCCTAAAGAGCAAAAGTGGACAAATAGAAAAGGAAGTCCAAAAGATTACTGAAGAAAATACTTCCTTAAAAATTAGAATGGAGCAATTGGAAGCTAGTGACTTTAGGAGAAATCAAGACACTGTAAAACAAATCCAAAAGAATGAAAAATTAGAAAACAATGTGAAATATCTCATTTGAAAAACAACTGACCTGGAAAATAGATCCAGGAGAGAGAATTTAAAAATTATTGGACTATCTGAAAGCCATGATGAAAAAAAGAGCCTAGACATCATCTTTCAAGAAATTATCAAGGAAAACTGAGCTGATATTTTAGAATCAGAGGGCAAAATAGAAATTGAAAGAATCCACCGATCTCCTCCTGAAAGGGATCCCCAAAGGAAAACTGCTAGGAATATTGTAGCCAAATTCCAGAGTTCTCAGGTCAAGAAGAAAATATTATAAGCAGCCAGAAAGAAACAATTCAAGTATTGTGGAAACACAATCAGAATAACACAAGATTTAGCTGCTTCTACATTAAGGAACCGCAGGGCATGGAATATAATGTTCTGGAGGGCAAAGGAGATAGGATTACAACCAAGAATCAGCTACCCAGCAAAACTGAGTATAATCCTTCAGGAGAAAAAAATGGATATTGAGTGAAATAGAGGACTTTCAAGCATTCTTGATGAAAAGACCAGAGCTGAATAGAAAATTTGACTTTCCAATATGAGACTCAAGTGGAGAATGAAGAGGTAAACAGGAAAGAGAAATCATAAGAGACTTATTAGGTTGAACTGTTTACATTCCTGCATGGAAAGATGATATTTGTAACTCATGAGACCTTTGTCAGTATTAGGGTAGTTGGAGGGAAAAAATTATATGTATGTATATTATATATATAGATAGATAGATAGATAGATAGATAGATAGATAGATAGATAGATAGATAGATAGATAGATAGATAGATAGAGGGCACAGGGTGAGTTGAAGATGAAGGGGTCATATCTGGAGAATAAAATTAAGGGGTGAGAGAGGATTATACTAGGAGAAGGAGAAAGGGAAAGGTAGAACAGGGTAAATTATCTCACAAAAAGAAACAGAAAAGAAAAGTCTCTTACAGTGGAAGGGAACTGGGGAAGGTGAGAGGAAATGAATGAACCTTATTCTCGTAGGATTTGACTTAAGGAGGGTATAACATACACACTCAATTAGGTATGGAAATCTGTCTTATCCTACAGGAAAACAGGTGGGGAAGGGGACAAGAGAGTAGGGGGATGATAGAGAGGAGGACAGATTTGGAAAGGGGGTAATCAGAAGCAAATACTTCTGAGGAGGGACAGGGTCAAAAGAAAGAATAGAACAAATGGGGGGGCGGGATAGGATTAAGGGAAATAGAGTTAGTTTTTCACAGCATGTCTACTATGGAAGTGTTTTGCATAACTGCACAAGTATAGCCTATATTGAGTTGCTTGCCTTTTCAATGAGGGTGGGTAGAGGGAGGAAGGGAGAAAATTTGGAACCCAAAGTTTAAAAAAACACATGTTTAAAAAAAATGCTTTCACATGCAACTGGGAAATAAGAAATACAGGAAATGGGGTACAGAAATCTATCCTGCCCTACAGGAAAATAGAAGGGGAAGGTGGGGGAAGAGATAGCAGGGAAAGCAGACTAGGGGAAGGGGCATTCAGAATGCATGCCATCTTGGGGTGGGGGGAGGGGCAAGATGGGGTGAAAATTTGGAACTCAAAATCTTGTGGAAGTAAATGTTGAAAACTAAAAATAAAAAAAAAAAATTAAAAAAAAAGGATACCCAAGTAGGATGTGGATCCCAAACAATAGAAGGGATTTTCCCTAAGTAGGCACCTATGCAGTAATAGCAAAAGCTGTCTTTCAGGTGTACACCTGAGGCTTATTATAATATCATTTTCATATATTAGTGGCCTCTAGAAAAGGATTTGTTTGTATGTATTATGGGTTTTAGTTCCAACAAGGCGGGTATCCCTCCCCGATTACATAATCCCTTAATAAACCCCTCCCCTATTACCTAATCCCTTGACAAACCCCTCCTGACTTTTTTTTCATAATTTCTGTTGTGTAATCAGTATCATGGCACTATAAAATTTCCTGTCTTGTCTTACTAAAGTTGCTGGTTCCTTTTGGAACTCAGCCCTTTGGAGAGCATCACCCTCAATAAATGCCTTCACTTGGATTGAAGGTGATCTGAGTCTGTGAATTCATTTGAGATAACCCCCACAGCAAACCATGAAACCTCAACAGATGTTCAGGTAGCTTATGTTAATAGTGCAGTGGAAAGAGTGCTGGCTTTGGAGTCACACGACCTGTATTCAAACCCTGCCACTGACATGTAGTCCCTATGGAACCTTAGGAAGTCTCTTAATTCCATGAGTCCAAACTCCCTCATCTATAAAATGAAGGGATGTCAATGTATTACCTCTAAGTTCATTTCTATCTATAAATAGCTGATACTATGTCCTCCTAATATTTGTAAACTGCTCACCACGTAGGTGCTATATAAATGCTTATTTCCTTTCCCTTCCCTAAAGCAATTTAGAATTTGTTTTGTCTCAGTTTTGAAATGTACTCTGTCTTCTTCCCCTATCTTTTTTTCTTCTCTTTTTAAATGTGTAACAGAAGTTACACTTAATGACATTCTGAGATTTGAGCGCTAGGTTCCAAGTATCAGGTCACATTCCCAGCCATGAAGCCAAGAATTGGTTAAAAATCTATATCTATATCTATATCTATATCTATAGATATGTGTGTATGTGTGTGTGTGTGTGTGTGTATATAATTTGTATATGTATGTATGTGTGTACATATGTGCGTATGTATGCATATATGGGTGTATACGGTGCTATTTGGATATATAGATATAGATATATAGAGAGATATCTATATATTTATCTGTCTATATCTATATCTATTTTTATCCATATATCTATAACTATATCTATATATATATATCCAAATAGCACCTTGGGTCAAAAGTGAAGCAGAGCTTTATAGTATATGGGGATGTACTATGTGGGTTTTTGGATCAGAGATGAAAGGGTTGGATGGTAGCTGAAGAAACTGAGCCTGGGTCTTTCCTTGATCTCTTCCCCTCCTCCTCTCACCCATTCTGTGAAGAATGAACCACATGTGAAAGGAAGTAGTCAGAGGTCTGTGCCAACATGATGCCAAAAATAAATACTGGTCCCTGAAATAAGCAACTTCCAGATAGTACCCACTGGAGTTACAGAGGAACCGGTGGCTGAGTCCAAGGTGATATTGCCTACACTAGGAAGATTTGCTAATTCTTCCACTGGGGAAGTATTGTTGACCTCTGAACTGGAGACATGTGTTGTTCTGGGAATGCCTGTGTCTGAGCCTAGGGTCCTTGAATTCTAGAACTTTCCTGTATGGATTGTGTAGCTTAGGCCATTTGAACTATTTTCTAAAATTCGTGGACCTTGGGCATGCCTAAATACTGTTTGGGGTAGGGGGAAATGATCTGGTTTTAGGACAAGGTACAGATAAAAAGCCACATAGTAGATGCTTGATTAAATACTATTTTATTCCTCTTTTTTATTCTATGCAAGGAATGTAAACAGATATGGTAGACAGTGTAGCTTATTTGTCTACAACTTTACATAACTTTATCATAGTGTAGTTAAAAGACTAGGTCCCAGAGAAATATATCAGATTCATGGAATATGCAGAATTTTCCAGTAGGAGGAGGCTCAAAGCTATTTTAATTCGGCAAATTCACATGGAACACACGTTAGGCTAAAAATATAAATAGACATCGAGAGGTAGAAATGGGGAATGAGACGCAAACTATTTCCTGAGGACCGTATAGTACTTAGCACTTCGTTATTGCTCCCTCCGGATTGAAATGGAGTGCATAGCTTCCATAGTGAGTGTGGGACAATCTAGAACCTGGTTCTTTTCAGAGAAGAGGCCAGATAACACCAAATGGTAGTGAAATAACTACCTTTGCTTGTCCTTCCAAAGCCACCTAAAATGCCCTCTCTTCCTTGAAATCTCACATGGTCATTCCCTCTCCAATTTGGAAATAGTTTCTTCCTTCTCTGATTTGTCATAGCTTACATTTTGGTAGGGAAAATAAAACAGGTATAGTTTCCCTTTTTATATTGTTTATATCATCTTAGTGCCTTTCATGAGATAAGGGCTCAAGATATATTTGTTGAATGGAGAAAGGAAGGAAAAGGAAGAGGGGAGAGGAGGGGATGGAATAAATATACTTTTCTATAAATATGATGTGAGCTTTGTTTCTGTTTTTTAAGAACAGTTTAATGTCATGAATTGAGCATTTAAATAATTGTTTTTAGGCTATCACAATATCTTACCTTTTCTGTGCAGTCTGAGAAAGCTACATTTTGAGACATCTTCTGTTCAGTAGTACAATTACAGTCTTCTCTAGAGGTCTTGTTTAAACACTGCTTATATATCCCTGTTTTCTACAAAGCAAATAGAAGTGGGAAGAGAGAAAAAATTCAGATGATTCATTAGCCACGTACTCATTGCAATCAGCAGCCAGTTTAATCATGATCTCCATACTAGGATGTTACTGGCTCACTGGTTTTTCCCTCTTCCCACAAATAAATACAGACCAACAAACTAGAGGAATTCATCCTAAGAGAATACATACATTCAAGACAATCTTCTCTAAGGCCACAGCAGGAAGTCACATATGAAATTTACACACAAAGATCCTCAAGGGGAAAAAAAAGCACTCCTGGAGTTCTGGAGTAATAGGATTTTACCGGGATCATAATTCTAAGTGGTCCTCAAGTTGGCTGAACACAAAGGTGCAAAGTAATTACCTTGGCATCCTAATGGAAAGGCAAGGAAGGAAGGAAGGAAGGAAGGAAGGATAAATGTTCCTAGAAATATGGAGAAATATATATTGAAAATGCTTTATTTACATAAAGGACCATGAATGAAAAATTTTAGGAGTCATCAGCTTGAAGACCCTTAGTGTTGCTCTGACTAGTGAAAGGACAGTTGCAGGACAAAGTGGGAGATTTCATGATGTCATGTCCTTTAGAGTTTTTCCCTAGACAAAATAAAAACAGTACACAAGGACTTTGTAGAGACAAATTTGTTATACAACAAAGAGATACCAGTGTACTCCTTAAGTTTCATTTGTGATTCAGTTCACCTTCTTGAAACAAAATAGTAGTAATAAAAGTATCAAAGGGATAACATCGTCAGTAATGTCTTATGGATTTGATGAAATTCAGTAGGGGTTACAGAGATTCAGTATATGATTGTGCTGAATTCTAGAGTTCACAAAAACACTAGTGTAACCATAGGAAATGACTTACTTTTGATTGGGGGTGGTAATTTCTTAGCTTGGGTCTGCTAGGATCTGCATTATAAAAGTTATTAGTGGTTGGGATATCTTTTCCTAGTTCTGATGGAGGCCTGTAGTTGTTCTGCATGGAATTAAACATAATTATACAAACAAAGCTCAGTAAATAAGCATAAACTTATACAATAATGTTGTTTATATTACACTGGGTGTGAGTATTCTCATTCTCAATAACCAGTAGGAGCTACAGTTGCATTGAACTGCCCCAACTGCACTTGGGGATGGATAGTCATCCCTAACCTCTTGGCCATTCCTAACTCACATTTTCCTGGAGATAAGAAATCTATATAATAATAGGCTCTATAGTATAATAGGACCTCTGGTATTCAGCTGCTGAGCCTTCTACACACACTTGAACTTGGGATAAGGACCTGAGATTCAGCTGAACTATAACTTGAAGTCTCTGGCCTACAAAGCCTAAAAGGCCAGAGGTAGGAAAGCCTCTTACACATGGCTTTTAACTATTTAAATTCATACTTCTAACAAATATGACTACCTGGCTTCATAGCAAACAATAGGTTAGAAGCAGAAAATTAGAGGTGGACTCAAGAGGCAATAGCACTAAGAGAATAAAGCAAAGCAAGTAAAGGTTCACAGTGTAAGGCCATGTAGCTATGTACATCCCAGGTCAAACCATTAGGACATAGTAATGTCCTAACGGTAATATTACAGCACAACCCAGTACAAAAAAAGACTATAATCATTTCCTTAAGAGCATATCCTATGAGTCTATGTCACTGGCCAATGGGAGCACTATCCTCTGATTTGCCTGTTACCAAACCACTTCGAGAGACTTGGTGACCTGCTTCTGCAAGTACCTGGTGTTATCTCCACTTCAGAGGATTCAGAAGGCATTCTGTGTTGATTTATGGACTGGAAACAGTCATAGAACACCTGACCATGCTATGAAGTGGAAAGCCAGAACCCTTCATTCTACATCATCAGATATGTCTAAGAAAAACGCTCACCAGGCATCCCCTAGTGGTTTGTCAAAAGGCAGAGCACTTTGCATGTACTCTGAGAACTAGGTCCCATTAGACAGTCTCCACAGTTATTGATCCTTTTTTAGCCTCCCCATTGCCTGCACTGGATATGGTAGTGGGTGCTTAATAAATGTCTATTGAATAAATAATGGACAAGTAAAGTTAATAATGATGAAACCAAGTCAACAATAAAAGGTTAAATAAATCCCGAAAAAAAAAATTTAAGCAAAAAGGACTGTGTGTAGTACATTTTAGAAACTTTTTCTTTTAGACCCCTATTTTGTCCTTTTTGTACTTTTATTCTTATAATTTATTTGTGAACATGTCATTTTCCTGTAACAAGATTGTAAGGTTCTCAAGAGCAAAGTCTGTCACTTTTCACACTAGATGAGCCTCTTCCTTGGACTGAAGGATCCTTTCGGTTGGCCTCTACAATGGCAGAATTATCCTGTTCCTAGGTCTCCCTCTGCCTTCACCATGGGGACTGGAAGCCTTTCCTTCCATTAAACTGAATATGACTTAATTCTTGTTTTATTTTATTTGAATTAAAAAGTGATTTGAGGCCATATTTTATGATATTCATTCCAGTAAGACAAAGGTACTAATTTCAGCTTTGAATAACAAATCTCCAAATTTAAACTTTCTAATCTAGAAAGGTCATATGCTTCAATGTTCTAACACAATTCATTAATACTTCTTCTGAATGGTATGACCATTGAGACAACACCATTGCAAATGATCTTAAGCAAATTAGAAAGCTGTCTCTAGTAAATGACTAAGTACAAAATAGTAATAGATAAGTATTGCTCCTAAAACAAACTGTTCTTACCGGCAAGGTTTTGATTATGTTGAAACCATGTTCATCCCTATATTGTCCACTTTCCCAATCTTCCAAGGATAGTTTGTATTTGGGTAAAATACTCATATATTTAGTATAACTACAGCTGCTCTTCAGTGTCATGATAATTGCTGATGTAAGGCAATCAGCTGTTGCTTGCCAGATTATGAATGAAATTGTAGTGATACCCTGGGAGAGAGTCACATAGTTGATGTCTACTTAAAGCCAAAAGAAGAGAGCAAAGTTCAATTTTTAAAGAGTTATATGAATGACTTGCACAATTTCATTGGGAATAAGATACAACATAAATTAATGAAGTCATTGTTTTCTAGAAAGGTCTCTGCAAGTTTAATTAATAATAAAAATTAATTATTCAAGTTAATAGTATCTTAGCAGATGTCACCATTAGATAAAGTTTTCAATCACTATAATAAGCTCTACTGACATTTTCCCAGTGGCAGGCTTAATAATATTTCATTGCTGATGTTGATATGATGGATTCATTTAAATGAGGAATTGTATCTCTGTTTAAGAAATGTGCCTTTTTTTTAGTAGGAATTTATTTTCAATGGTTATAAATGAGATTAATTCATTTAACCTCTCAATGCACCAGGTAATTTTCTTAGGTGGTCAGTTTCAGAACATTTGTTAATCTATTGTGGGAATATATTTCCAGGCTGGAAGTTCCCTGTACCAAAGAAACCACAAATTTAGATTAAAAAATTAATAACTAACAGCTATCTTTGATATCTGTATAATGTTAAGGCTTCTAAATAAATTATAACAGTTCTTCAGCATAAATGGTGACTTGAGGAATTTTTTTAAAAAAATTTTAAGAGTAATTCTTGGATATGCTCTTACAAGAAACCTAAGTAATCTCTGAGGTGCAAACCCAGATAGATAGATATGTATCTAGATACATACAGATATAGGAGCGGTAGGAGTTGTTATTGTTAAAATTATCTTATTTTTTCAGAATTGGTGATACACTATGAATTTTAGATCTGGAAGTACTAGCATTCTTGTATTCCTACCTTTTTTCATTGCCTGTTTTAGAGGACTAGATCTGTAGTTTTCTCCAAAAGAATTTTATAAAGTTCTGTGGTTTGATTGGTATAGCACCAAGCCTGCAAGTTAATTTAGGTAACATCTTTTTTTTTTTCATAATGGCATAACTCAGTCATGAACAATAGACATTCCTCCTTGAATTGTATGGTTCATAATTTATTTGTTTAAAGAATAGTTTTATTTTATAACTGCATTTATATAAAACTGGTTGCGTTAAGATCTTTTGATTGATTGAGTAGTCATTTTGTACTTATTTTGAATTAATTTCTCATTGTATTTTTTCTAAATTTTGTTATTGCTATATAATCACTGGGCTTTTAAAAATAAACTATCTTGTCAACTGAAAATATGGATAGTGTTGTCTTCTCTCTGACACTGTTTATACCTTTAATTTCTTTTTTCTCATCTTTTGCTATTGTTTGCATTTCCAATACAACATTAAATTACGTTGGAGATGGGGGCATTGTTGCTTTGCCCCTATATTTAATGGAAAATCTCCTACCCTTTCTCTGATCAAAATAATAATGGCTTTTTAGGTATACAATTTTTATTTAATTGATATATGGTTCTATTTTTGTACTTTTAAATTTTTAAGCACAATGGAGAGTCACATCACGGCTATTTTTTAAACCATTGATATAATCATGTGTTTTTTTTTTAACCATTTGGGGATTATGATTAATTATGTTATGGGTGGCATAGTGGGTAAAGGGTTGGAGTTGGAATCAGGAAGAGCTGAGTTCAAATGCTGCCTCAGATGATTGCTAGCTGTGTGAACCTGGACAAGTCACTTAATCTCCATAATCCTTATCTATAAAATTAAGAATATAATAGTATCCATCTCACAAAGTTGTTGTGAGGATAAAATTAAATAACAGGTAGAGTGCTTTGCAAACCTTAAAGAGGTATATAAATGCTAACAGTAGTAGTATAGTAGGTAGTAGTAGGAGTGGTGGTAGTAGTGGTGGTGCTGGTGCTGGTGCTGGTGATTGTTTTTGTTGTTTCCAAGTGTTGAATCACTGTTACAAGCATCACTTATATAAATTGACCTGTTATGAATGTTAATGTGCCTCTATGTATGTACCTATCTGTACACAGTGTTATATCATTTTTCTAGAACACTATTTGAAGTATTTGTATCTATATCCATTAATGATATTGGTTTATAAAGTCTCTCTTTCAAGGAGCTCACAATATAATGAGGGAGATAACATATATAGAAGATTTTAGCTACATATCAGATAGAAATGCACCATAGTGCTTAATGTATAAAAACAAAGCAGATGGTAACAAATCTTTTTAGTGCCATTTCTGTTGGGAAAAAACATATCTTTCTGATATTGAACAATTTAATAATGCCAAGGAGTTTGGTAGTGAGAAATTTCTTTCATTTTCATTATCTATGGCTAATGAGGAACTCCTTGAGATCAGAGACTGTCTTTTGACTCTGTTTGTATCCCCAATACTGAGCACAATGTCTGGCACTTTAAAATGTTGATTGATTAATTAATTGATTGAAGCAGGTGGTTTTCTCCCCAAAGATAGTTTTGTATAGACAATGGCTACTGGATTGAGATGAGAGCAAGACTGATAGCATGGGGGAGGCTGGTATTCCCAGTGTTCTTGGCTATTTCCCCTGGGATCTGGGGGGAAGTGGTGGTGGTTTGATAGCTAGCTCAAAGTTTCCCCTGTCTCTCTCTCAGGACATTTTGCTACTTCAGCTACACTAACTTGTCTTTGCTTCTCCAGAGTTCTCTCTCTCCACTGTCCTAGTCATCAAGGAAGAAAGTCCCTTTCTCTGGCAGGTTTCTCAAGCTCATACATTTTAGATTGAAATTGGATATTTGTCACCTAAGTGGCAACATTTCCTTGGTCTCCCTAAAAAATCAACAAATAAAATTTCTAAATGGAAAGGAAATATGTTGTAATTCTTCAGTGAGCCTGTGATCTCCTCTGTGGGTACCTCTACCTAAGAAAATCATAATCCCAATATGCCTTCTCCATCCTCTGTGATTCTCATACATATCCTTCCAGGAATGCTTCATAGATGATCTAGTCATCACTTTACAGGGTTTCCTATGATTCTTTTAATAACTTGATGGTACTAATATAGCAGCTGAGCTATCAACCTGTTAATAGCATTCTCATGACAAGAACAGCTTGGTTCCTTTTCTGGTCATGCATGTAGGTGATGGTGGAATCGGTGTTGGTAATATAGTATAACCTATCCATATCCACCATTTATCTTTCTATGGTCCTTTTGAACACCTATTTTAACGTCAAGGAATTACTTTAGCCCATGAAAATAGATAAGAAAACAACTACCTGACTATGTATAGCTTCCTCATTTATACTGGTAAAATTGATTTTTAAACCATGTGTATAATTTTATTATATGTGTTCCTATTACATTTTCTCATGTTAAATTTCTAACAAAGTTCTAACTAGTTGACATCATTTGACCTCTAAATTTATTACTCACTCTGTTGTCTATTTTTCCCTAGCTTTGATTTATCTGCAAACTCTTATCTCCATTGACAGAAAAGTCTATGTTGAATTTTTGCCCCAGTTCTTATTTGCCCCAGAATCCAGATGCTATGTCTCTCACTTGCACCAGTAATACCTCCAACTTGGTCTCAGTGCCATCCCTACTGTTCTTACATCCCCTGACTTCCATTAAGAGTGTTGTTTTATCAATAAAATCCTGGAGCTATTCCATGGAACACTTCCAAAAAGGAGAAAGTAAAGAACAACATGAGGAAAAAAAACTTTCCACTTGAGGTGGCAGCTCCCTTCACAAAAAATTGTAATAAGCAGAACATATTTGTAGACCATGCTACAAAAGTATTAGCATATTTTCCTCAAAAGTAAAGTAAAAGAAAAAATAACACATCAGCATTGAATTTTTTTCTTTTTTTAACTTTACAAAGACTATTAAGTGTGTTTTTAACTACAAATTAGGAAAATTTATCTTACTTTACTGAGATATCTATTTACAATTTCCATTTCAACTACATAACTGTCAGTTTCATCCCAATAGGCATACGTTGTCACGTCCATCAAGAACACGTGTCCAATGAGTATTTTTAGGAATGGTGTTGTTCGTACCCGAATCTCTATGAAACAGAGAGCAAGAATTAATATCTAACTACTCAGTGTATTTAATCAAATCAATTAATATGGGTTAAGTAGTATTTTAGAATGATATTCTTAAATGTTAATATAAAAGGTTATATGGATAAAGTAAATGCAAGGGCCAGAAGCTATAAATATTATCAAAACACAACTTCTCAATTGGTTAATCCCATTTGAATATTTAGTTTTTTAAATTTATTTTTATTTTTCGTCTTTTGTCTTTGTATTACATTTATAAACATATATCATTGACAATCTTCCTATGACCAGTGAACTATTTCTGAAAGCAAAGTCGTTTGTTTTTTTAGGAAAAAAATCAATAAAACTAAACAACACATCAAATCTGATGATATATAGAGAAAATCCCATATCTATAGAATCCCCCTTCTACAATGAAAGAAAAGAAGTAAATTTTCTAACCTCTTCTATAAAGATATTGATTATTATAAATAATGTTCAGTTTGATTTTATTGTTCTTTCCATTTTTTTTCATTCTGTTTATTGGTTTTTCAGTTCTTATTTCATTCTGCATCACTTTAGGTAAAAATCCTTGTGCTTCTCTGAATTTTTTTGGTATTTGTTATCACTTATAGCACAATAATATTCTATTATAGTTATGCAACACAATTAATTTAGTTATTTCCAAATGATCCCTTACTTTGTTTTAAATTGTTTGCTACCATTAAAAGTATTACTTTGAATATTTTCATGTATTTAGGATTTTTCCTGGTCCTTGGATAAATGATTAGTGGTGGAATCTCTGGGTCAAAGGATATGGACATTTAAGTCACCTTTTAAAAAAAATTATAATTCTAGGATTCTGGAAGATGATGGAATAAGGCAAAAAATTACCTAACTCTCCCAAATTCCCCCACAGACAATTTACAATAACACCTCAAAGTGAAATTTGAGTGGCAGCAATAATTAAAAGGCGGAGTAAAACTGCCTAAAACAACTTGGGAGGACTTTTAGGAAGACCTGACTTTCCGGAGTGGTACTGCTGAATCAACAAACAAGCCCTAGGGTCAACCGTGTCTGCAAAAGCCTCGGCTTCAGGAACTTTTCCTCACAGGGAAGGGGGTGGGGGGCAGCAGCTGATTGGTGGAAGATTGCAGAGCTATCCACTGGTGCTTGGTAGAGGCCTAGATCCACTGATCAGATGCAGTCTCAGGCTGTGGCTGTGAGTAAGAAGGAACAAGTATACACTAGTAAGCGCAGTTGCAGAAAGGCAAGGGCCCTGCTGGCTGAGGTCAGCACAGGACAGTAGAGTCCCTGGTTTGGGTTCCAGGACAGAGGAATGAGCTGAAACTTGAAGCCACAAGGGTCTGCAGGAAGTAGAAGCATTAGCAGTAACAGCATTGCTGTTGTTATTTATTATCTCTAGATAATACAAGATTTAGCAGCTTCTATATTAAAAGACCAAGGGGCATGGAAGATTATACTCCAAAGAATAAAGGAAATGGGTTTGCAACTAAGAATAATTTACTCAGCAAAGCTCAGTGTAATCCTGCACGAAAAAAATGTATATTTAATGAATTAAAAGACTTTCAGGTATTTGTGCAGAAAAGATCGGGACTGAATGGAAAATTTTACCTATGAGAATCAAGAGAAACATAAGAAGGTGAAAATGAATGATCAATTATAAGAGATTTAATAAGGTCAAACTGTTCACTTCTTATATAAGAAAACTGTCTATAATTCTTGAGAATGTTACCTTTACTTGGGTAGTTTGAAAGAACATACTTAGACAGAAGGCTTGGGGTTGAGTATGATGGGATGATTCTAAAAAATAAAATTAGGTAGGGAGAGGTAAAATGAAGCAATTATCTCATAAAAATGAGGCATGAATGAAAGAACTATTACAATGGAGGCAGGAGAGGGTGGAGGTAGTGCTAGTAGTGGTAGTGCTAGAACTTTATTCTCATCAGAACTGGGCTAAAGAGGGAATAACATAAACATCTAGAAGGGTAACTAACTTACAAAGAAATAGGAGGGCAAGGGAATAAAATAAGGGAGAGACTGTTAGAATGGTAAGTAGATTAAGGAATAGGAGAGTAAGGGGAGAAGATAAGGGAGGAATTCTTTAAAAGGATGAGGATTAGGGAGGATGTGATTAGAAATAATCAGACATGTGAGAAGGGATATGGTAAAAAAGAGAGGGAAAGAAGACTAAACTGTGAGGAGAAAGTGGATGGAGGGAAATACACAATTCATAATTATAACTTTGAATGTGAATGGGATGAACTTACACATAAAACAGAAACCCCAGAATGGAATAAGAGTCAGAATCTGACAATATATTATTTACAAGAAACACATTTTAAAAGGAGAAATACATATAGAGTAAAAAATGAAGGACTGGAGTAGAATTTATCATGCTTCAGCTGATGCAAAGAAAGCAGAGGTAACAATCATGGTTTCTGGCAAAATTAAAGTTAAAATAGATTTAATTAAAAGAGATAAACAGGGAAACTACATTATGATGAAAGGTACCATAGATATTGAGGTAATATCATTACTAAATCTATATGCACCAAATGCTATAGAGCCAAACTTTTCAAGGAAAAGCTACATGAATTACAAATGGAAATAGACAGCAAAACTGTAATAGTGGGGGATTCTTCTTATCCTAGATACATTGATTTTATTAACAAAAAAGCATTTCAATTTCATGTAACCAAAAAGAAACACATTTGCCAAAGATATTTAAACCAAGCAAGGGATGAAGATTATCACAAAAGATTAAGTAGATATTTTCCCATTATGTGAGATTCAAAAAAGAACTTTTGCATTAATGAAAGCAAGTCAATTAGGATGAGGATAGAAGCAGTAAATTGTGTGTGTGGGGGTGCATCAAATATCTCTGATAAGCATCTGAGGTGCAAGATATATAGGGAACTGAGGCAAAAATTCATGATAAAAACCATTCTGGAGGAATCTCCAATTCCACATGTCCAAAACAAAGCGTATTACCTTTTGCCCTAAAACCAAACCCTTTACCATACTTGTCTAATTCTGTTAAAGACAAAACTACTCTCACAGATATGGGTCAGGGATATATTCCTGAACAAGTAGTGGCAATTCCAAAAGATAAAATAGATTGCTTTGATGCAACTGAAACACTCCTGCACAAACTCTTATTCTCTTCTTAACCCCTTATAATCTGGCTTCCAACTTTACTCAACCAAACTGCTCTCTCCAGAGTTGACAATGATCTTTTAGTTGACAAATACAATGGTCTTTTTCCAGTCCTTAGTCTCCTTGATCCCTCTGCAGATTTTGAAATTGTTGTTCACTCTCTCCTATTTGATCCTCTATTCTTTCCAGATTTTCATGACACCACTATCTCCTGATTTTCCTCTGACTTATCTGAGTCCTTCTTCTCTGTCTTCTTCACAGGATCTTCCTCCAGATCACACCCTCTAATCCCAAATGTCTCTCAGGATTCTGTCCTGGGTCCTAATCTCTTATCCATCTATACTGTTTGACTTGGTATTCTTGTCAGCTCCCAGGGATTAAATTACCATTTCTATTTTGATGATTATCAGATCTATCTATACTGCCCCCAATTCTCTGCTGACCTCCAGTCTCATATTTCTAAATGTTTCTCAGACATTTTAAACTGCTTGTCTAGTAGAAATCTTAAACTCAATATATCTAAAATCAGAACTCATTTTTCTTTTCCCCTCAACTTTCCCCATCAATTACCTTCTCTGTTATTGTAGGAGGCAACACCATCTTCCCAGTTCCTCAGGCTCACAACCTAGGTGTCATCCTGGACCCTCCTCTATGACCTCCCATCCAAGCTATTGCCAAGGCCTATTTCATCTTTGTAACATTTCTCAAATAATCCCCTATTCTGTCCTGTGGCACTGCCATCACTCTAGAGTAGGCCCTCATCAGCTCATACCTGGATTATTGTAGTAGTGTCTGCTGGTGGGCCTACCTGCCTCAAGTCTTTTTTGTTCTATTCTAATTCTCCACCTAGTTATGGATATGATTCAAAATATTCCCATCTTCCTTCTCCTCCAAATTCTTCCAAAAAACATTCTTTTGCTGCAGCCCTTTCTAAGAAGTTTCCTTTTGTTTTTAATGGATTTTCTTCCATTCAAGTCTATTCTGAATACTATTTTTCAATTCAGGGCTATTTAATTACTTGTTCCTCCTTTATTCTATATTCCTCCTGACAACAAACCTTCTGACATTTTGCATTTGAACTCCATCCTCTTCTGTTATTTCTTTTTAAGGTATTCCCAGTCCTACTATTTTCTACTCTTCCTAAGTTTTAGAAATATCAATTCATAAACAAAGCAATTTCAAACTGAAGCCATGTTGTATATAGTGGAAGTAACTTGTATCCCAAGCAAATATCCATCCATCAACAAGCATTGTACTAAATACTAGAGATATAAAGAAAAGCAAAAACCATCCCCAACCTGAGGGTGCTCACATTCTCGTAAGAGAGACAACATGTGCATATCTTGGTGCACACAAGATATATACACAACAGATGGAAGAAAGACCAAAGAGAGCAGGCAATATCCATTGTGGGAATTGGGAAAGTCCTCCTTAAGGACAAAACGCTTATACTGACACTTAAAATCAGAAATTCTAAAAGTCAGAGATGAGGCAGGTGAGCATTCCAAGCATGAAGGACAAAGATGGAGGACTAGACAATTTCTCTGATCCAAAAGATCTCTCAAACCTCTCAAAAATAAGAATTCTGTCAAGAGATAAAGTAACTTCAACCAATCCATGAGCTTGCAGCAAAACAACTTTGCTTACCCACCACAATCTTCCCCATCCTCACTCCCAGGTATCCCATGGAAAACCAAAGAAAAGAGGTTTTCTCTGACTAGAAAGCATCATAGTGTTATGTAATCATATTCTATAATAATATTCAGAGAACTGAGAAATAGAGGTGAACTGGGTCAGTGCATTGTGTGTGGATCCACCAGAACTAAAGCAAAGATAGCTGGCA